GTAGTCACCTTCATATTCACCTTTCTTTCTCTAAAACTCCTTTCTTCACCTTTTGCTCTTTTTCTTCTCTTCAAAGTTTGAAGCCTTTTTTTCCAATTGCATTTGATAAGTCCTCATTAGGAATTACAACCTTTTTGCCATTGCTTTAAGGGGTTAATAGCAATATAGACCTTCACCAATAAGGCCTTAATAGAATCAGGAAGTGTTTCACCAGAGGTGAGGATATTCTGAAGAAGCCATGACATCACTTATGGAAGATCACACAGCAGAATTGCACGTAAAATTAAGACCCATTTTCATTTGTCGCCCCTCAGTTCTATGAGCCATTAAAACTCTCGGCCAATAAAACTTGAAAAACTAAATTTGTATGAAGTGTTTTGCATATGAATAGCAGATGAAAAAAGGAATTATTTTAAACATCACTGGTTTTCATGCATTCCTATTTCTGCCTTTTCATGTCAGCATGACACAAGCCTGCCTGGCCACACAAAAAACAAAATATGATTACCCTCATTCCAGTTTTTTTCTTTCTTTACATCTCTGTATATTAAAATGTTAATTGATACAAAGTGTACCACATCATATGTGATTATAGGTGAGAATGTGAACACGGTGTATTCTCAGAATAAGAAGTCCTTCCACACCAATTGGGCTATACAGTATATTGTGCAGGAGTGTGGCAGCTGGTGGTGACGCATTGCTACGCTGAGCTTGAGCTCAGAGTCGTCAAGGAAAGTCATTAATTTTTATCTGCTTTGACGATTCAGCTGTAACTTTCCAAATATCACAGGCTATTCTAACCAGCAAGAACAACGCTCACAGTCTCCTGGGTAGATATTCTTTTCTATTCTCTGCAATCTTGTACAAAAGCAGATGCCTTTCAAAGAATGGGTCACAGTTTTTCAGGAGAGTGACATTTGTTGCAGTTGTTCTCTTTAAATAAAATATAAATAAATATGATTTACACTTTCCAGCTCATATCATAACAAATTTCCAAACTTACTAATTTCACCTGAAAATAAATGGAAGCAAAACCCTCCACCAGATAAACCTGTCAGTATATACAGCCAGAGAACTATAATTGATTAATGTAAATTGTCTGAAAAGGGGAATGATGAAGTAAAACTTATTATTCACACCCCCTCTCTCTATAATTAAACATAAATCAACTTAAAGTAGAGTAACCTTCCTGTTAAAGTTTTTTTTTTTTTTTTTTTCAAAATTCACAATCGCAAAAAAAAAAACCCACACACATACAGTACATACAAACGTATATGTACCTACATAAACACATTAGGCCAAAATCCACATTTAAAAACCTGTACATCAGCACTCAGAATATTGCGAACCATCAAAACCCCCCAATTATCAGTGCCACATCCCAACTGTTTGAATTTCTACAATATCTGGGTGTTTGGGGAGGCAGAACTCTATAAATGGTATGTTAGTATGGTTGTGAAATCCTGCCTTATGAACCATTCTGATGGCCCTATTTTGTAATGTGCATAACATTCACAACAAAGTTTTATAGGTCTTTCCCCATATTTTTCCCACGGTAACTTAAGTAAGGTATTATAGGTGCGCAATACATAATATGAAGTGCAGCATAATTTAGGAAAGCTTTAGCTTTGCTCAGAATAGCAATACTTTGGGATATTAAGTTTAAATATGTTTTATATGAGGTCTCCAGCAAATCTTATTGTCTATCATTACTCCCAAGAACTTAATTTCCTGAGCTCTCTACTATCACATTATCTATCAGGATATTATACCCTAGGTCTCTTTGAACCTTTGGGCATGCACCTCTTTGGCCTCGGCTGAGTGCCAAAAGGTGGTTCACACTAAGCCCTGTTCTAATGGAGGTTTCTTCCGGTCAAATGTTTTTTTTTCCTCTACATTTTCACCAGATGCATGCTCGGTGTGAAGAAATATTTACTGTCACCAAATGCTTTTCCAAGAAGAAAGTATCCTGCAAAGTCAATGACAATGCAACAATGTTTTTTTTTTACAAATCTGACTGTATAATCTGGTTGAATTGCCTGTCAAGTGCCTTAGACAATAACTTAGACAACATTTATTATAATTGTGTATACACTGAGTGTATACAAAGCAAAATTTTGTTTTGTACAGCTCTCATGACATTTCCATTTCTTACAGTGCAGCGGTGATCAGATATAAACATTGTGGGAGAAAAAACATGGTGCAAAATATGACTTTGGTGTGAATTGTGGCTAAACAAACTGAATTGAAATGAATGCCCAAGATCATTCTACTGTGAAGTGATAAGGAAATATAGGGATGTTACAGGAGTCTTGCTACAGGTTTAATGCTTCCTGGTTAGTATTTGTGTTTTGTGGTTGATAAAACTGATGCAATGAAGGAGAGTTGACATTTCTTTATTTTCACATGTGGGCATTTGCTTTTGATGATATGGATGGAGCACTATGATATGTAATGCTGATGGTGATGGAGCAGAAAAATATTTGATATTTGATCATTTCTAATCAATAAAGATTTAGCACGACTGGCGGGTCACATTCTGATGCATGACAACATGTCCCTCAGAGACTTCATATCAGAACTATGCCATTATGTGCCAAAACACACACATTAATACACGTGTGTGTGTGTGTGTGTGTGTGTGTGTGTGTGTGTGTGTGTGTGTGTGTGTGTGTGTGTGTGTGTGTGTGTGTGTGTGTGTGTGTGTGTGCGTGCAAGTATGCACCACTGGGATTAATTGTGCAGCAACTGCAGCCACCATTTTTCATATTTTTATCTCAAGGTTACAGAGAGTCAAAAGCTGATAAATAGGCTGGGCAAAGAAATGCTTTGCAACTATGAAAAAAAGCCTTTTGTGGTGTTTACCAACCAAATAATCAGATTTGCAGGAAGTAACAGATTTTGAAAAGTAACTGAGAGTTGGCATGCAATCAACTGTCAAATCTAGTGAGATAGAACAACGCAGAGATGGACAGAAAAAGAGAAGTTAAATCCAGAATATTAAAAACAGGAGGGAAAGCGAACGTTCCTTCATGCCAACTCTGGGTTTCTTATTCCCTTGTGTTGCTACATGAGCGGCACACATCAGAGATGGAGAAATGTCACTTAGCAGGCATTAGGCTGCCACTTTCATCTACACACAGATCAGAGAGTTGGGTGGGGGATGGGTCTTAAAAGTGTTTCAACAGGATGTGAGCCTGTATTTGACTTTGAAATCATCCCATCACTCATTTTTATCAGCACTGAACATGTAAAACACGCACAGACTTAAGAAAAGCTGGAAAAAATGAAGCCTGATATGTCTCTACATTTGAACTTAAAAAATTCCTGGGCTAAAAAGAGCCCAACTTTCCTGCTATATACGAAAGATGACACCCTGTATCTATGGGAGCTAATAAAAGTTATTATATTTTATGTTTGCTCTCTCAACCTGTAAACAATTGGCATTAACATCTAAGAGTTACACAATTTTGAGATTTAATTTTTATATCCAGAACAAGATTGTATATTTCTACATGTGTTTTTTTTTTTTTATCTTTCGTGGGTTTTTTTTGTTTGTTTTTTAATGTATTAATGTTGCTTTTTCCTATGGTGTTACAATATTTATTCATGTGTTATCATAGTACAGATTAATAAAATATCTGATTAGCCTCATTTAACTTAGCATCCACCTCATTTGGGGAAACTCTCGCCTACTTTGCATACCCAAATGGAAAAGCAAATAACTTAGGAACTGTAAGCCCAAATAACATGTGCAATACATTATTTGAAAGCTAAAAACCTCTAGTTTCCGAATCTATCAATATGAAAAATTGGGTGAGTAGAACACAGACCAAGCTGCATCAGTTCAAATATGACTCAAACTTGTTGTTTTTTTATCCTAGAAAATGATAGGTCTTTTTTGAACAGCAGTAATAAAGACATGCTTGAGAAAAGGCAGGTCTCGTTGTATTACATATGTTCTACATTTGTCAACCACAAATGCAGAAAATTTCAGACCTCTAGCTAAAACAGTTTGAAGGCTGGGGGGTTTTGAACTTTTGGTGTCAACAAATACCCTAGGTATTCAATATCCTTATAGGCCAAAGAGGTGCATGCCCAAAGGTTTAAAGAGACAGAAGCAGACTTACAAGAGGACCATAGAAGAACTGATCCAACTTTGTAAGTTAAAAATAACAGTAAACTACCTCCATATCTGGCTCAAAGAAAGAGTTAAGCAGATGTTTTAAAAGCCAACAGTCTGTCCTGGCTTCGTCGGCATCTTACAGGAAAACACAATAGACTAGACACTGGGTGAAATTGTACCACCTGCCTATCTCTGCCCAGTTCTCATCACCGTTCATCTTATTCACCTGCTTCAGCCCCTATTTTACCAGTGTTGTGAAACACTGCCACCAGATTAATGCCCTGAGTCACACACCAACCCCCACACCCCTTGTTGAGCTGAATAAAGGACCACTTTTCCAGCTCCCAACTCCCCCACAGTCAATCCTACAAAGATCATCACCTTTAAGGGACCTCTGATGTTTTACTCAAACATCACAGCACTCAGACCAATCAGCAGAAAGAATGCTAATATATATCAGGACCGACCCCAACGTCATTCAGGTTTAAAAGTCAAAGGCACGCAAAAGCTCTTTGTCTTTTTCCTGGGCTCAACCGCCTGTTAGGAGAGGCAAATCCCTCGTGGGATATTACCTGGAAGCTATGGAAGCTTATTGCCATCAAAAGCCATGGACTGCAGTGATCACTGTGCTGACCCACTGAGTTGGGTGAGAGAATGTAGCCTCCGTCTGCATGATACTTTTGTGGAATTTCCCTTTGAGGATCCAGCAACGCAGTGTTATTTTCACAGTTGAATCTCAGAGGGATGCCTTTGTCGATAACGGTAGGTAACTACCTCAATTAAAGCCCATCACATTCCTCAACTGTTTGCATTAGACTGATCTAAGATTCTCCTGAGAATCGACCCAGTTTGGAAAAAGACTTGTGTGGAGCTGAAATCTGGAGCTGCTTTTCCTCCTCCCTCATCCATTCACCTGGACTGGAAGCCATCTCACAGTAAAAACCTTTCATAATTTCATCTGATGCTTTTAACGAGGTGCTAATCAAGCTTAAACACCGGTTTTGGCTTCAACCTCTGGATTATCCTGCCTTCTTTCGTCTTCTCTGTTTTGGTCTCCTGCCTGTCCTCAAATCTCCAGGTGATCAGTGTCTGATATCTCTGGGTGGCGCCCGCCGCGCTGATTTGGCAGCTGATCAGCTGGGACCAACCTCATCCTCTTGGCTCGGACTGAACTCTTAGACCAGGTTAGTTACTCATACGTTCGTTATTATCCTCCACCATATAGACATGGTCACTAACAATGTTGTTTGCTCCTGCAGAGGTCCCTACCTTAGACTCCAACGCTGTTCACTGCAGTTCTGTTTTTAACAAATTTTTTGAGAAATCTAAGTGTCTGTCTGCCTCAAATACTGGGTCCTCTCATTCAGAGCCTGACAGAAGCTGTACATCATGGGGAATACTTCCTTCAATAACTTGGCTGGAAGTGAATCTAATATACAAGTGGAGGGTTTAGATGAAGATAATAGCTCTGCTAACTCTAAAGGCATCTGTATAAATGTATCTATTATCTATTATGTAGGTGTCGCAATGTAATAAAACAATGCATTCTAAAGACAGCTGGTGTATAATTCAATGAGTTTATATTGATACTTGAGTTTATTTAAAGCTGAAGTCTGCAAGTTTTTAAAAATCACTTTTTTGTCATATTGGCTAAAACTGTCCCTATGCCCAGACAGCAGTACATGTGATATGTAACCTGTGAAAAAAACTGCTTCAATTGGTCCCGCCTACTGCCTGTATTTCAATCTGGAAAGAATATTTCGGGACGAGTCAAAACAACCAATCACAGCCAGAGGAGCGTCTGATGGAGTGTCAATCACAGCTCACACACGCTGAATCCCCCCCAATCCCCCCCCTCTCACCGCTTAACCTGCCGCTGCCGCCTGGATGCCGCAGTCAGGAGGACTCGCGTGGAAGTCATGGCGGAGCGACAGCCACCAGCGAAAGAGAAACTGCCCTACATGTCTTTCAATGTTACCATGTGCAGCTATTTCTGTAGTGTCCTCCTTGCTTAGCCTGTCAGTCTAAATGCAAACTTATGTCTAAGTGGGTTTGTTGTTCTGCCAAACTGGTTTCCTTATCATAAGAGAGTCTGTCCTATGTCTAAAGCTAGTATATAATTTTTAATGTGACCCCAAATTTTATTCTTTAAAAACGGTATCCCTTACCTGTCTGTTGTTTTTTATGATCTTTATAATGGCATTTTTTCAACAAGGCTCTTTAATAAACCTTTTAGTTTACAAAGGCAACTAGTTGCACCTGGTGGAATGGGTGGGTATCAGAGCAAAGGGGGGTGAATTCAAATACACCTGAATATTAAGCTTATTTAAAATTTATCCTTTCATATTTCTTTCATCTCACTCATTCGTGTCTCTTTTGTGTAATTGGGAGTTTCTACGGTATTAAATTTAAATTAACAGATGATTGTGGTCTTAACATCATAAATAGTGAAAAGGATTGGAATATTCCCTCTTCTCTAAAGCAGCTACTTGACTGCTTTAGAGGGAAGATCGCTGGAAATCAATTGACTAAGTTTAGCTGGATTGCTTTTTTAATGACTTGTTTTAGACAACTATCCTTATAATATCATAATATAAAATCACTATTACTTACTTCTTTTACCTTTAGGATATGTTTTGGAATCTAATCATCATTTATGAATTTAGTTTATGTTTAGGAATTTGATTTGTTGTATATTTTTGGAAATGACCATGAGCTATTTCTTTTATACAGTGCATTTACACTTGCTGTGTGTAACACACATATAAATTGATATAAATGTAATAATTAACTTTATGTTTCACTAAAACTGAAAAGATAGGTAGATTATGTTCTTACATGCAGTGGCAAGAATTCATGCAATAATATCTCTAATAAATAGACCCACATCTGCAGGCGAACACTAAGAATGTTGACACAATATAATGCTGTTCCATAATAGCATTACTAAGAATTTGTTTTAAAGTATCTTTAAAGTATCTTTGTATCATGGATTCATTTAAAGCTCCATTATTACAAGCCCCTAAGAAATGGAGCTTGATAACCCTCACCTAACCATTGATTTCATCTGCTTACCTTCAGCTGTCGGTATTTAACAATCCCACTTTCTCCCATGCCATTTGTCTTTTCATCTTTTCAGTTCACTCTGAAATAGTTAATCAGAGGGCTCATATCCAAGAATATTACTGTGGTGATCATTACACTTCGGCTCGCATAACTTTGCATCCAACAGGGACCAAATGAGCGTACATATTGAATCTAACGAACAATTTGTCCTTTTGGCACAGCACGTATAATCTTTATTAGATTGAGCCGTAACATGGCACTGGCTGCAATTAGACCCGAGAAGGAGTCTCTGCTGCAGAGGTTAATAACTGTGGTGTGACTGTGTGAAGCTCCGTTATGATAAAAAGGTTAGTTGCATTAGCAATGGTGGCTGTAGGCAAAGAAGCAGACAAATTCGGGGCTGCAAGTCAACGTATAGTGCTTCAAAGCAGGCATTGATAATGGTAACGTGTTGTGAAAACTGTCTTAATTCACTAAAGGCACCTGCTGGTGTCTGGCCTGTGATCTAAACATGAATTGTTGCTCTGTGACTTCAAGATAAATTAGAATAGGGTTATTTTAAAGATATTCTGATACACCAGGGTAACTATTTCACAAATGTAATGTAATGCAGCTTAAATTTTAAATTCTATAATAATGCTACAGGAATTTGCTTTGGTCAAACTGGCATGAATAATAAAAGGTAAAAATTTAAAAGCATGAGAAGTTTAATAATTTTCCTCACTTGTCTGAGAAAGTTAAAGAAATATAGGTATGTTATAAAAACATTGCAAGATATTATTCTATCATGATTTGTATGATAATGTAAAATGGAAGAAATACAAAAGATCTGTAAAAATATGTATTCTAAGTAAAATGCAAGTCCTCTGAAAATATGGTAATATGTATTCACTCAGTACTGGACTGTGCTTTCTTTTTATTCATTCACTGCATCAATGTGTCCCAGCATATGGGCTTTCAACATACCCCTCCAGTGTGTTTGTTGTAAAAGCCTATGCTGCTTTGATAGTGGCCTCCAAGAGATCTGCATCATCATGTCTGTTGTCTCTCATTTTCTTCTTGATAGAATTTCAAAGATTTTAAATGTGGTCAGGTCTGGTGAGTTTTCTGGCTAACCTAACACAGTACTGCAACATTATGGTTTCTGAACCAGCTTTTACTACAGTAGTCATGAATTCAGCATCTCCATAAAGCTTGTCATCCAGAAGATACATGCCTTAAAAAATATGGTAGATTACTGTGTTGACATTGAACTTTAAAAAGTACAGTGGAGCTTCACCAGTGGATGACATGACAGCCTATATTAACACTGATTGTGTAAACTTATTTAACTTAACAGTCTACACCTTGCGAAGCTCTACAAATTACTTAAAAGGTATTGTTTTACAATCATCTGAAAACCCTACTTGTGCTATTTACTGTGTCCCAGATATATATAAAGTATACTCTCTTTCTTTATGGTTGTTTTGTCATAACTCACAATATATTTTGTATCATTGATTTATTTTTATGAAAATTGAAAAACCCAGAATGTCGACCTCTCAAGGGCCTGCTTGGAGCATGCGTTGATGGAGAATTCACTACGCACACAGTGCTTCTAGGCTTGTCCTTATTGGGTTAGAGATCATTGCAGGAGTAAGATAATGGTGTAGTCCACCTCAGTGGTTAGCTGGTTGTCAGGCTCATCTTTATTATGGAAGCCATGACACCACAAAGCTAATCTGTGTAACACCTCACAACGATTAAGCAGCTGCAGTCCTGAGTTACAGGCTTTGATCTTTCATACCTTATTCCTCACCTGTAGTGTGTGAGGGACAGGTGGTGGTGGTTGATGGAGTTTTTGGATAGAGTCTTCTGAAGCAGAAAAAGCATGGGGTGGCTGAGAACTATGAAGTTGGGGAGGTGGCTTGCAGTGAGAGGAACCTCATACAGTTCCTGTCACTGTATGAGGAGTTGGATTTTTCATGATTTTATTTAAATGTGGAGGTCAGTGGTAGGTAACAGTATTTTTTTGTATACACAGAACATTGTCATGAACTGCTATTTGTTGACTTAGGTTTTGTTTGCCACTGTTGTTGTAAAAGCCTCTTGCTCCCAGTATTAAAACTGATCTGAAATTTTTCTTTTATTGTAAGTTTAGTATTTAGATTGACACAAATTAATTCTAAAGTAAACTGTCAGGGATTAACCAATTATATTTTTAGGTCATTGGAGATTTTTACTCCATGTCTCCAGTAGCAGCACAGAAAATAAAGAGTTAATTTGCTCCTATGCTCCTTAGCTCTGCAATATTGGAATTATATTTATAGCAGCACTCCCTTTTGTTAAGCAGACAACATAATAATCCTGGTAGATTTCTTTTGGAGGTAAATATAGTGATTAATAGAGTGATGAACGTTTGAGTTAGGTAACTTATGATCAAAGATGTGTACAACATAGATGACTGGTTGCCAATCCCACCAAGATATCCTTTTAAATTAGAACCAGTATTTTAGTAAGCTTGATTAATTACACATATACTTTCATTTTGTATTCAAGGTGTTTTACAGTGCTCAAATTTCAAGACAGAGTGCTACCAGCAGTGTTGGGAAAGTTCTCTTTCTACGTGAACTAGTTCAAAGTTCAGTTCACACATTTTAAAATGAACTAGTTCAGTTCATAGTTCACAATTCCAAAAAACGAACTAGTTCATAGTTCTTTTTTTTCTTTTTTTTTTTTTATATATTGCTCAATTACACCATAGCCTACTGTAGAACCACAGACAGCAATTATTTTATCAGTTGTAACTCTGAAACTGTGCGTCAGATTTCATCTTCATATCCAGTTTTGAATCCTTATCCAACCAGGGTTTACATTAGCATTGAGGGGACAGCATTTCCCCATTGTTGCTTTAATGCTTTGTTGCTGTCCATTCACTTCACACTAGTAGCAGCTGCAGCTTTCACCCCTACAGTATATTCTCAAAAACATCAGGAAAAATGTGCTGCTTGAATGGTCTTTTTTATGAGTAATTATTAAAAGAAAAATAGGAAAGTAGTCTTTAAGGTGCAAATGTTTTTTATTTTTATTTTAATAATTTTTTCCATTTGAAATTCCATTTCAATACATACTAAAAAGGAATCCTGGAAAATTATACCAGGCAGGTTTAACAAACAAGTTACATGGATAGTAAAACCCTCAAGAACAGGGGTCTTCTTTTCCAGACCAAGGACCCCCAAACTGATGGCGAGATGGAGCGGGGACCCCCTATTTATATATATTGTATGAAATTGTGTCCTATAGTCACTCTATTACAGATGGAGTAATGTAAAGAAATTAATTTCTCCCTGGG